ACTTTGATAAAGAATATCTCTTTGGTTTTGAGACTTTAGTCTTTGCAACTTCAGGGATCTTATCTATTCACGATCAGCTTGTAACACTGCAAAGAGAAAGGAAAACTTGAATCGCATCATATGACCCCTTTAAAGGATACACATTTTTCAGTAAAATATCTGAGAAACAGGAGACTACTGTTTCCAGTTGCTCTCCAAATTAGTCTCATGGCTGTTTATGAAAGGGCTTTGAGATTTTGTAGATCCTTCTTTTTTTGTAGATCTTTCTTTCTACTAGCTGACAGAAAGCTGGTTAGAAAAAGTTTTCTAGGAAAGAGCAGCCTGCATAGTGAATAGAGAAGTGGACTGCAAATTCAGCGGAGGAGACATGCGATCACTCTGTGTTCAAATAATAATGCAATCCCTTGTTTTGTAAATGGTTTCGCAGAATTGCATCTTATGATAATGTAAACACAACAAAAGAGATTTTGAAAAATGGTTCAAGGTTTGCTTGTTTTGAACACCATTGACTTTCATTGCATGAACACAAACAGTCAAAACATTCTTCAAAGTATCTCTTTCTGTCTTCCACAGAAGAAAGTAAGTCGTAAAGGTTTAGAACATAATGAATTTGTATCATTTTAACTACACACAGGTGATCTGAAATACAACAGGAAGTGGAGTAAGGAGTCACCTGTCATTTTCAGAGTCACAGCATTGCTTCGAAGATCTTTGTCCTTTTTCTTGCACCAGAAAGTGGCTCTTTCTGCCTCCTTTAATTCTGCAAATATAACAGCTCTGTTCATCTTCTCATCAACATCGAGTCCTAGACTGAAGGTGCTCACTCCCTTCAACACAAAACAAGCCCAGTCCTTCAGATCATCGTCCGCCTGCAGCACCAGGTTTCTTCCATCTCCTTTGGTCATCACAGCACCTCCTACAGATGGAGAGAGCTGAGCGAGAGGCTCCAGCTCTGAGAGAGAGAGAGAAATCATGAGAAACAGCAGGTGGAATAGATGATCATGAACATTTAGGATGGTGTTCATACCCAGTACAGTCAGTGGGTACGGGTCACTCTTTGATCCGGCCTGCTCACATTCATATATCCCATTGTTTTCTGGTGTTACTGCAATAAGAAGCATTGAATAATCCTCGTGTGGTTGTACTTTTCCGTTAATAAGCCATTTTGTTGGTTTACTCCCTCCTTTATGGTTACAGATCAGAGTGACGTCATCTCCAACATACACCTGTGGGAACTTCGGCCGGAGAGACACTGAGAGAAAGAAAACAGACATATAAGACACAAATCTTCTGTAAAGGCAGGTTGTCTGATTACTATCATGAAATATGAATGATTGACTGATTGACCATAACTGAAAACTAGTGATTTAGTGCTGTCTGCTCTACAAAAAAAGATGACTGGAGTAATGGAGAAGTTTGCTTTCTTTAATTCAGTTCTTTATATGTGTGTATTTATGAATTAAATAAATACACAAGTTATTTTTTTGAAATTATGCATTTTTAATTATGCATTTATTTATTTATAAAGTCATAGTTTCAGCCCTTTTTCTGATTTAAATTCTTACTGAATGTTTTGGGCTGCTTCTGTGTAAATGCATGTCGAGTTTAGTTTTTGACTGTCTCTAATTGAGGTGAAATGTGCCACAAGTGATCAGGGATCTTGATGCTGCTGGTTTCTAACATTGGGATTCTTTAGAAGGATCCGTAGATCTTAAATTCATCTGGTCTCGTCTCTGTTGTTCATTGATTATTTTGTAGGAGTCGGGCTGTTCAGTCTATAGCCTTGCTGCGGCCACGGCAGAAATGACTTTGGACCAGTTTGCAAGCTCATTATAAATGACCCTCTGTGAGGTACTTATTATACGCAATACATTTTAAACACATGACATTAGAAATATCTGATGTTCTGCACTAAAGTTCTGGAAATATCCACTCGGTTTTTGCTCAACACTGCGTTCATAATAGATTTAATGTGATTAAATGTGTTTTTTTTTGAAGATCAAGCAGAGCTGATCATCTTTAATGGTCTTTACCACATGTATTGTTTCAGTTGATTTGATCATGTGCACAGTCTGTAGACGTGTGTGTTTAATGAAATGTGTGTATTTACCTGTTGGTTTCTCTCCCTCGCCTTCCCTTATGAGAGCCAAAAACACTGTGGAATAAAAAGATTATTTAAAATAAGATGATTTCTGTACTAAGAATCTACAGCTTTTATTTTGATTTGCAGCTGCAAATGAGACGACCACACCCAGTCAGTTTTGGGTCTGTAATGACTTCACTGTCCAGGCGCATTTTCAGCGCTGTGGACCAGAACAGAACACCTGAGATGTCATTTCAAATGTATTTCTGTACATCTGTGTTTAACTACATATCTCTCTGGAAGACTTATTCTGATTGGTCAATTGCAACTTACATTGGTGAAATATTCCTGAATGATGACTAATAATAATATTAATATTTATTTTAAAACAAAAAAACAATTAATCACCCAACAAACTTAATGACATATTTTGCTTTCTTCGTAGCACAGTATATATTATATACTATATGTGACCCTGGAGCACAAAAGCAGTCTTAAGTCACTGGGGTATATTTGTAGCAATGGCCAAAAATACATTGTATGGGTCAAAATTATAGTTTTTTTCTTTTATGCCAAAAATCATTAGGATATTAAGTAAAGATCATGTTCCATGAAGATATTTTATAAATTCCCTACCGTAAATATATCAGAACTTAATTTTTGATTAGTAATATGCATTGCTAATAACTTAATTTGGACAACTTTAAAGGCGATTTTCTCAATATTTTGATTTTTTTTGCACCCTCAGATTCCAGATTTTCAAATAGTTGTATCTCGGCCAAATATTGTCCTATCCTAACAAAGCCTAACAAAGCTTTCCATACATTAATAGAAAGCTTATTTATTCAGCTTTCAGATGATGTATAAATCTCAATTTCGAAAAATTGACCCTTATGACTGGTTTTGTGCTCCAGGGTCACATATATTATATATTTATAATCTTAAAAAGCCCAAGCAGGACACCGGCAAAGAATAAGGATCGCTTTTTATTTCTCCTCTTTCCTACTGCTTGTTTCACTTCTGGTCGCTTTGGATAAAAGCGTCTGCTAAATGACTGAAAGTAAAGTAAAGTAAAGTAAAGTAAGTAAAAAAAAATAGGAATGAACTGTCAATAGTGTGCATCATGAAAGTTTGTAAATGATGCTAAATATTGAGTACAAGTACCACAACTATTTGAAAGTGGTTTTTGCATACATTCAAAAACATCGTTGCATCTAAAAATTGTTTGTGGCACTGTAATGAAAATCTGTGTAACAGCATTGTCATATTAGTGCAACTTAAGCATAGCCAAAAATAATATAATTCATATTTTCTGTGAGTTTTGCCCTGAAATTGGATAATTTGTGGAAAATTGTCAACATTTATCATCATTTAATGTCAATATATTAATCAGACAAACAAAGCTTGTTAAGTATTTTGCCTCTTGAGTTGAGTGAAAGCTACAAACTGACTTAAAGTAAACTTCAGCTTTAATGTAGCAAAGAGCAAGAGTTTGTCAAAATGTCCAGACATGGATTACACAGAATCTGACAATAAGATGATGCTGAGCTCTTGTGTTTTACCTGATAGTAACAGCAGAGACCTCATGTCCATCAGCCGAGCCGATCTGCGCTGTCTGTCAGAAAGAGAAATATGACCATCTGATGGACAGAAAGATGAGCTGTGTGCAGAAATTTGGGGAAGTGGCGATAAAGTGGTTTATCAGTCTCAATGCATTCGAGCTCAGCTGAGTATGTATGTGAATGTTTCAATTATTTTTGTTTGATCAGGGGTTTTTTTTCTTCTCTTTTATGGTACATATGGCAGCGGCCGCCGCACCCCTCAGTCACACTGAGTGTGTGTTTAACAGCTCATTTCAGCTGTGTGTTTGTGTTCAAGCATGCAGCGCTGCTTTCCATTTGCAATTTGGTTGTTATCAGGCTTTGCTATTTACAGAATGTGTGAAGTCATGGTATGTAGATGGTGAGTGATGAAGAACTGAGCGGCTCACACCCCAAATGAAGCATTAAAGAAAGACTCACTTATTTTAGTTATTGTATTATTTATTAATATAAATACAAATTTTCTTATTAGACCTTTTTCGTTACGATAAAGTTTGTTAAAGCACATTTAATTTGCTGAAAGTTATAAACTATACGGCATCTATTTTTCAGATTACAGTTAATTTCATGCATCATTTTAGAGTGTGCATTCATTTTTAGAGTATTAATATTTTTTTTTAGCAACATTTCTGTTAATGCTCAGATAATATTTAGGATATTCTAGAATATTGTTTTAATGACTATAAAGAATGCAGGTTAAAAATGATATGAATCTACAATTTGTGCATTCCTTGACATATTTAGCATTTATTTATCACTTTTTTTGCCTTAATGTTCATGTTAATGCTCAATGCAGTGTGACATTTATTTTATGGACATACAATTATTACATGTAATCTCTCAAATTAAAGTGAGTTCATTAAATCTGCATGTATAATTATGCATGAATTAACAAAAATACTAGATGCATGTCAAGTATATATTGCAGGCCATACCCATCTGCATCAATTGCAAAAAAAAATATATATATTGCTCAGGAAAGTTCAAATATGTAATTGCAGAATACAACAGAAAGTATCTGTGTGCTGACCTAATATTACACTGGGTTTGTTAAGTGTGTAATTATTATTTTTTTAATTAGTGAAAGATTGTCTAATAAACTATTTGAAATGTTTGCTTCTGTAGTTAAACCTCTGTTCAGCTTGTTCACAGATCCTCGTTAACTGTTTTGTGAATTGTCAGTTTTGGCAAAGCAATTGTTCTTTCCTGTGAAAGCGTTTCATGTCTCAAACAAAATTAACCACACTCTCATTTTCACTAAGTGCTGCTTTTTTTTTTTTGTGCGACATGCAGAAGCTCATTTCCTTAATTTCCTTAATGTGCAGAAGTGGATAAAAGCAGACAAGTGTTGTAAAATGAACACTTACTCAGCCATTCAGATGCATTTGGACTGTCGTAGAGTATGTGGTCTTGATTTTGATTTTAATATGATTAATAAATTCGCATTCGGTCCTTTCTGACAGGAAGTCCCGCAGGTCAGTGGCATCCACTGGAGAGCAAATGTTGACATCTTAACAGATCTCAAACCGACATTAGAAGTGAGTATGTTTGAGAAAATGCACCACAATTCACCTTCAGCAAATGTCACACAAGAATGTCAAACAAATGTGTTGAAGGTATAAGTTCAAAATGTAAATGTGTCTCAGTATTTCCTCCTCTGCAAAATCACATGCATTACTTTAGTGCCAGTAAATGAATATACTGTCCCTCACGTCACATCTGCTGCTGCCGGTTCAGTGTCTTTGACTCATCACAGTCAAAAGATCTCAAGCTATTCTATTCTATTCTATTCTATTCTATTCTATTCTATTCTATTCTATGCTTTCATTTCTAAAAACTTTGGAAGTATTCACAGTTGTTCAAGATTCGTTCCTATTTCTTTTCATTTTGTGCAAGAGGAACTTGCATTACTGTCTGTCTCTGTGTGTGTGTGTGTGTGTGTGTGTGTTACCTTCCTGTGCATTTCCCAGAATACCCAGCAATGGTGTTATTTATGAACAGAAACATGCTTATTAGTCAGCACTTTTTTGTTTTTTGTTAAATATATTTTGTGTTAAACAAATGTATGTGTAATGTTCTGAATGAATTTGGCACAGCTGTACAAACTTTGTGTTTCTTGGTTGCATGTAGGAACATTTTCACATGAAGAGAAAGAACCTGTTCAGAAACAAACGGATGATGCTTTTATAAGGGGCTGAAAAAATGTGCTGGAATCTAGGAGTCATTTTGGCCTCATGAATTCATAGCAGCACTTTTTATGAAACCTGCATAATGCATTGTACTGTAATTATTTGACAATGCCCTATTATGCACATTGTTTTCGTAAGTAATAGTAACAGTTATAATATTCATCTTCTTTACATTTACATATATACATTTAGCAGACAATTTTATCCAAAGTGACTTGAACAAAAGCAATTCGTCACAGATATGTTATTATCTATTCACATAACACACAGTGTTTCAGTAACATATCTGATTATAAAGTGCATTATAAGGCATTACAAATGCATTATAATTTATTAAAAGTAATAATTTATTTTATATGATTATATAATAATTTATTAAAAACAGCCTTTGGTGCTGACATGGCTTAATTGTAATAACCAAGCTGTTTAAATAATTATGAATAGGTTTATAATGCATTATATACAGTATTGATGCTTTATAGTTGCTAAATTATCATTATGGAATTGTGCAGAATATCACATTCATGCCAAATGAAATCCTCATCCATTGTGAAATCTAGACGCATAAACTGAAAGCAAACAGCCTTATCTGTGCTGTAAACTAGTTATGTTGGGAAAGAAAGATTGGGCCATTTCATTGTCTGTGGTAAAGTAATGGTGACATGACGCACACTGTGGTTTTGCAGAGTAATGCATTTTCCTGGAATAACAATGAGTTTTAAAAGAAGTATCACTATTATTATTGCTTAAACCGTAGCTAGAGTTACTGTAGTAATGTGATGTGTTTATTCTTCAGAAATGAATAATTCCTCAAAGCAAGTGTCTTCTTGGCCAGTTTTAAATCTCACATATTTACATTGAAGGAGGAACTCGATCCATAACTATGGTCCTGAACAACTGACTTGGATCTGTAAGCAATCACCTAGCAACTGCATAGCAACGCTTTGACCACCTCAGCATCAAGTCACAGTGAGTTTTGTAAGAAACCTCTCACATGTTCTTCATAAATCTAAAAATATAGTTTATTAACAAGATGACTAAGTGCAATCCAGCTTTGAGAAGTACTTGAATAAATTAATTATGCATCCTTATGCAACGTGATTAATTTATACACAAGATGTTACTGTTTTGGTAGAACAGGATAGCACGTCTATAAGTATATAAGTGGTTTCATCTCTGTCTTCATGTAATGCATCAAATTCATGTTACTAGTTTAAAAACACAGATTCGATCAGCTCTTTGAGAAGATGTTAATGCATTAAATAGTAGAGGAACTGAAGTGTATATCGGCTTCATCGTGGCTCTAATTTAAGGACGCCGAGCTTTGATGTTATAGTGAGAGGACGGGGTGGGACTTGGGTCCGTTTTGAAAGGTCAGAAAACAGGACAGCGGTGGGGAGCAACACACGGCCTAACGCTGGCTACAAACAGGCCACATTCAGTCCTGTTTTGAACTGAAGAAAGACATGTATTAGTAATTAGGCACCAGGACTGTTAGTATTTGACTCCAACACTGTGGCAGACCTACTTACAGATGCCTGAAAATAGAGAAGTACTGAGAAAACCCATGCCGAGGACTCCCTAGAACCAACAACTCACTAGTACTCACTACAACACCACTGCCTCAGTTCACCAAAACTATACTTGTCCAGATAGATATACAGACAGGTAGATCGATATACAGACTGATGGGTGGATGGATAGATAGATAGATAGATAGATAGATAGATAGATAGATAGATAGATAGATAGATAGACACACAGACAGACAGACAGACAGATAGATAGATAGATAGATAGATAGAATGTTTAATTGATGATTGTTTAATTGTTGCATTTGTAAAGTGCGTAAAGTGTTCATTTACATCGTTTCATGCAGTTTTGTTGATAATTTATTCTATAATAATTCTGAAATAAAATAAAACATTAAATGAAAAACTTAAGCTTAAAAAACAAAATAATTTGAAATGTTGTCTTGGTGACTAAATAAGTTTACTATAAGTTGAAGTGCTAAAATTAAAATAATTAATACTATATAAAAATTTTCATTTTTTAATATTTTATTTATTTTTTATCTATGGTTTGCTTTTTTAACAAACAGAAAGAAAAAAGATAAACAAACAAACAACAACAACAAAAAACAACTGAACTGCTTCAGTTGGCAAGCAATTATTGAAAATATTGAAGATAAAAAGTGACAGCTGAATTGCTTTATAAGCCATACAGTATATATATATATATATATATATATATATATATATATATATACTGTATATATTTAATATAAATAACTTATGTCATATAAATTGATCAAACTTAAACCTAATTAAAATAAAAAAATTACATTTAAATATGAAAATATAAAGATAAAAGCTAATTTATAATGTCAATGAATACAATAATATTGTATAAAAAATACTAAATTACACTGGATGGAGCACGAACTCTGTGACTTTAATACATTAGTTAGTAGTTTTAGAGGTTTCATCACATCACCATGAGCATGTGTACTAGTAATAGTGATGCTTAACTAATCAAACAACACTAATAAGGACGAATTTCCAAACAGGCCTGATTTCAAACCACAGACAGACTCTTGTAAAGCAGGCAATGTACTGTAAGTGCCCTATCTTCATCTGTTCCGTCTTTATCTGGTGAAGGCCAATCATTCTCTCTTACCACTTTGTGTCTTATAGGTGTATCTTAAGTGTTTGTTGTCAGTGTCCTGGTACAAACCTTGTGTGTGAAAGACGGCGATAACCTCAGCGTGATGAGGACAGGTGATGATTTCTCTAATTCACCCCAGCACGTCACATGAGCA